GAGGGCCTGAAGTTTGTGGAGGACTCAGCAGAAAGTGAGGACGGTGTGTCCGCCAGCGCCTTTGATTTCACTGTCTCTAACTTTGTGGACAACTTGTATGGTTACCCGGAGGGCAAAGATGTGCTGCGGGAGACCATCAAGTTCATGTATACAGACTGGGCTGACCGGGACAATGGTGAGATGCGGAGGAAGACCCTGCTGGCCCTCTTTACTGACCACCAGTGGGTGGCTCCAGCTGTAGCTACTGCCAAGCTGCACGCTGACTACCAGTCCCCTGTCTACTTTTACACCTTCTACCACCACTGCCAGGCTGAGGGCCGGCCAGAGTGGGCAGATGCAGCACATGGGGATGAGCTGCCCTATGTCTTTGGTGTGCCCATGGTGGGTGCCACTGACCTCTTCCCCTGCAACTTCTCTAAGAATGACGTCATGCTCAGCGCAGTGGTCATGACCTACTGGACCAACTTCGCCAAGACTGGGTGAGGGCCAGAGGGACTGGTGGAACGGGAGGGGGGGCCCCCTGCAGGCCAGGGCACCCTCACCATCTGTGATTGATCCTCTCTCTCCTCTCCCTCTATCATATGGTCGTCATTTCTCCAGGAAGACACTCTTGCCTTCTCTTGCTCAAGTGAGACTGACTCAGACATTAGTGAACACCTTCTCTGTACCAGGCACCGAGCTGAGAGTTGGAGATTCGGCAGAGTTAGGCCCCTGTCTTTCCTGGGGGTGGGCTCCCTCAGTGGCTTTGGCTTGGTGTCTGTTTCTCCTTCCTGCCTTGCCCCATCTCCCACCAGTGCTCTGCTCCTAACCACTCTGGTGTGTGTGTGTGTGTGAATATGTAAGGATTTGTGTCTGTCTTTCTCCGTGTTTGTAGTTCTCTCCTGAAATCCATTGACATCTCTCCCTTTCCCTCTTTGATGTGTTTACTTTTTGCTATCTCTGGCTACCGCCTGCCTTTACCCTGGTGTCTCTGTCTCTGGCCATCTTTTGTGTCTTGGTCTATCTATCTCAGTCTCAGCTTCTGCCTCTTAGTGGCTATTTTTTGTCTCTGTTTCTTTGTCCTCATCTCTAGCTGTCTCTGGCAATCTGTCTTCATCTCTTTGTGTCTAATTGGCCCTGTCTCTGGCAATTTTTTAATTTTTCATTGTTTCTGGCAATTTCTTTGTCTCTTCTTATCCATGTGTATCTCCCTGTTCCTATCACTTTTTTCTGGCTTTATTTGCTGTCTTTTTTTTTTTTTTTTTTTTTTTT